GTCACAAGTTAATGGGAGACCAAAGCAGGAGAAACTAGACTTTGTGGATTAAGACTTCTGTTTTCAGTTAACTAGTTAAGATGAAGTTTGTCATCTGTGTGTGTGCTGTGCTACATGAGTATTCGAAGAAAGAGGTAAACCAACCAAACAACAATCCAGTCTCAAGCTCAGGATGCCCTTCACAGGATTACTAAGGGCAAGCCTCACACAGCTTTTCTAAATTACTGACTTTTACACTGGATATGGTCAGCACAAAAGAAAATCTAATTGAAAGTTCTCTTCCTCTGAGACTTAAAATTCTGACACACTCAGCAGGGCATTGGTAGCACAGGCCTTTAATCGCAGCACTCGGGAGGCAGAGGCAGGCGGACCTCTGAGTTTGAGGCCAGCCTGGTCTCCAGAGCGAGTGCCAGGATAGGCTCCAAAGCTATACAGAGAAACCCTGTCTTGAAAAACAAAACAAACAAACAAAAAGGACGCTCTTAGGGAAGGACAATCCAGTCCTCCCCCATCCTAATTTAAATAAAACAAACAAACAAACAAAAGGAATAAACATACACCCAAACAGAAAAACACGATGAGGAATTGGGAAACTGGGCTTGTAGCCTAATGACAAAGCCTTTGTTTATCTTTTGCCAGGAATGCCTTGGGTTCATTTGCAGTAGTAGGAAAAGTTTAAAATCACAAAGGTAACGACAGAAGAAAAACTGAAGTGGCACAGACATACATATGTAAGGGCCACTAAGACAAAATTCCCTACACACAACAAAGTGGCATGAGTGTCACCAACCTGGCAGTCCTACACTTTTGGGGACATGCAGGTTCCGGGTGCCTTTTCACTCCAAGAAGAATGAGGCCTAGGAAAAACTGCTTCCCTGGGACAGAACAGGGTCCTAGGCCTTAGGCACAGCTGCCTGCTTTACACACAATCCCAGTGGTATGTGAAGGACAGAGCCAGTGCAGGACACACTCTGCACCTTAGCTGGGGAAGGAACATCAAGGCAGCAACACTGTCATAAACACACAACCCACAACTCTAGGAGTCCTGGGCAACATCACCTTTTCTGATGGATCAAGGGGTCTGCTGTCTTCCTTATTCCGAGGAGAATCAGCAGAAGGGAGCATCATACAGTAAGGACACCACAGTGGACATATGGTGAAGGGAAGTAACAGCATTCCTGATTGATGAAAGAGACATAAGGCCTAGCTATTCCTGATTCAAGATCCTAAAGCCAAAACCATAAAGGTGGACAGAAGGAACCCAGGTCTGTCTAGACATGGGAATGATGCGGAGGGTCTGCAGCTGTGCAAACCAACACCTGAGGCATTTTCACACCTTATGCTGTAACCTGTCCGTCTTCTAAAGTTTCTATTTCTTCTTCTTCTTTTTTTTTTTTTTTTTGGTTTTTTAAGACAGGGTTTCTCTGTGTAGCACTCACTCTGGAGACCAGGCTGGCCTCAAACTCACAGAGATCCGCCTTCCTCTGCCTCCCGAGTGCTGGGATTAAAGGCTAGCGCCACCAACACCTGGCCTAAAGTTTCTTAATTAAAATAATGTCTGACAGTTACATGACTCTTGGCTAAAGCTTAACAGTGAAGGTTTTTGGATAACTTGACTAGAATTCACTTTGTCAATTAGCAATTTGACATATTTTGTGGTAACTGGGAACAATTATTTTGGTGAAACATACTATTTTTGTGTATATTTTAAGGATATTAGTTAGTTAAGGAAGTCTGAAATGACAGGACTAAGTTATTTTCTCAATCTTTATATTTTAGGAATTGTAGAGACTAAACATCTTCTCCAAAATGAAGGCCTTGTTCACAACAATAAATTGTACCCTTGTATAGAAGTTACTAGTCCTTAGAAAAACAAGCACATTTTAGACTTGTGGTAGAATCAGAGCTGAGATGGTGATTAACCATATAACATACTAACCCTTTTATCTAGCACTTATAAAAAGAAGTCTTAGCTACACCATGTAAAAACAAAAATTTAGGTCAACCTGGATATTTATATTAATACAACCATGTAATTATAAGCCAAAAAGTACAATGGAATGAATACAAGAGCAGAAACACATGTAAACAATACATAATTGCATAGGTAAAATGGAGATCTTTTGATTAGCTTTTAGATCATATTTTATTAGCATTGTCAATCCTGAATCTAAAGCCTGTCCCTTTTGAATAGATGTGTGTAATCTAAGTAGTAAACCATGAAGAGAAAAGACAAAGAACCTAACCTGATTATGGGGAAGTCTTTAAGCAGGCTGAACAAAGACCACAAGCTCTGATACTTCATTTCTTTCCTTTAGTCTAAATTGGATATAATCAAAACTTGGGAAAAAACCTGTCACTAAACAGGAGAGCACAGATAGACAGGCAATGTCTTTAATGTAATAAGATGAAAGTTATCTTAGGAATATTAATTCTTGTTATTTTAATATAAATTGGCATGGCTAATTATAGAAAGAGCAAATTCCTTGACTAAATACATCAGTTACACAAATCATAATTTTGTATGAAAAATATGAACAATGGCATTTTGTAGAAGGTAAATGGACAAAGATACAAAGGAAAGCAGAGTACTCTCATAAAAGAGATGAATTTCACAAAATAGTCAATAATTTATATATCAAATTCTAAATGCCATCAAATTCTTTAGATTGAGCCAGGCGTTGGTTGTGCACTCCTTTAATCCCAGCACTTGGGAGGCAGAGGCAGGTGGATCTCTGTGAGTTCAAGGCCAGCCTGGTCTCCAGAGCAATTGTCAGCATAGGCTCCAAAGCTACACAGAGAAACCCTGTCTCGAAAAACGAAAATTAAAAAAAAAATTCTTTAGAATGAGTCAGTCAAAAAATCTGGGCAAAATGTTATTGGAGTTCAAGAAGGCCATCCCTTGCTAAGAAAGTATTTGCAACTGGTGACCTTGTGGGGAAGGGGTAAGGGAGAGGGCAGGTGAGGAAATTTCCCTCAGGAATGTGGCCACTGGAATGTTGCATTTCCTCCTGGAATGGTCACACACATCTGGACAGAGAAGGGAGGAAGGGAGGGAGGGAGGGATTGGCAGAGGGGAAACAACCAAAGAAAACACACCAGAAATTAAGTGTCAGTTGTGCTTTCTAGATATAAAATATCATTTATATCTAGAAAATTCCCTATAATAAACAAACTTTTGGGTTTTTTTTGTTTTTTTTGTTTTTTTTGTTTTTTTGGTTTTTCGAGACAGGGTTTGTCTGTGTAGCTTTGGAGCCTATCCTGGCACTCGCTCTGGACACCAGGCTGGCCTCGAACTCAGAGATCCTCCTGCCTCTGCCTCCCGAGTGCTGGGATTAAAGGCGTGGGCCACCAACACAAACAAACAATTTAAAGCTTTGTTGGGCTTTTTAAACAATAAACCAGCAGTCTACAGGGTTAGGTAAGCAGCTACAAATTTGCCTTACCTCCATGGAGGAAGAGTGAAAAGTGAATACTGACTCACCATTGGTGGGAGGTTAAACTGCTGCAGTTAGGAAGCAAATCACTGTGAACTTGCCTCAAAAGTAGAAAATAGACATACTATGTAACCAAGCTACACATCTCTCCACATATAAAGAAAAGAGTCCATATGCGACAAGATGACCATGGTCACTGCTGCTCTAGTCCCAATAGTTGAAAGAATCAGCCTGGATGCTCCTCAGCCGATATCCGGATACTGGAGAATCCCATCACATTAGAATCCCATCAGCAATGAACAAAACTGAAGTGAAATTTTCAGGTAAATGGAAGTAAGTGGAAATGTAATTATACAGAGCTAGTTATTTCCTCAAGGGCACAATGTCGGGCATGGTGGTACAAGAGCTAGTCTTAAGTTCAAGACTAGCCTGATCACCACAAAAACTTCGAGGGCTATAGAGAAAACTCCATCACTAAAACAATCAAGGAAAGCAATAATACTATCTTAGATATGAATGAAAAATAAAATGAAAATGGCAGTAACCATATATAGTGAATATACTTCACACTCAAGTCAACTTTCAAATAAAAAAGTTTTCATCGCTAGGAAGCACACTTGGCCTTCTCTCAGATAAACATTCTGAAGTTTGTGAATGGACAGAAATCACACGCTCTACAAAAACCAACTCTCTGAGGCTAACGGAAGGAGATGAAATGTTAATGTCTTCCTAGCTACTGCAACCCTGTAAATTACTTGGTACAGAACTGGCATTCCCAATTCTCTGTCTGAAGCAGCCTGCAGACAAACAAGCAGCAACAACAAAAGTACAAAGCCAATTCCCTGAAGCGCTCTGCCGGTCCCACCCGTTTTTCCTCAGGTCTGCAACTTCACAAAATTCCAACTTGGGCCTCAAAACAGACCCACTTGCAAACAGATGTGACGCAATTTTCAACTCCTGTCTTTCTTCAGACTACTAATTCACAACAACTAGAGTCAGCAGAAAGAGAAAAATTCTCCCACGATATCATTTTTTTTAAGAAAAAAATTAAAAACTAACACAGGATGTGGTGGTGAGGAGAGGGACTCCACTTTACGGGAAATCTCTCTAACACCAGCAGGCAATAGGGTCAACTGTGAAGCAGACCAGAATGAGGTGAGAGAAAAGAACGCTATAAAGTGATGCGGCGAAATCTAGGTCAGCCCAACAGAAGCGCAAGAGTAGAAGGGAAACTGCAAGGACCAGTTACTTCCCTACACAGCACAGCCTGGACTCGGCATCACCAACCCGCCAGCGCAGTAAAAATGTGTGTACGCATAAATTCCACAAGGACTAACCCAAGAGGGCTGGGGACTGCAGCGAAGCAGCTTCACCAGGACAGAAAAGTGGGTGACTCCGGACTCAATGCTCCCTGTGGGTGCACACACCCACCTTCAAAGACACGTGCGCATAAGCATGGCTGGGCCAAACTCAGTGTTCCATTGGCCTGCGCAACAGAAGGAAAAATTCCACGAGTTGGTGCTACCCGCCACCCAAGAATCCAGACTCCCAAGGCACACTCACCATTTCCTACTTCTGTTGACTCTAGGTGTCTTCCCAAAGTGGCCAGCAACCCAAAGAACACACAGACTGCAGGTCCAGTTCTTCCCAAAGAGTCGCTCTGCTGAGCCAACTAAGCCAAGCAAAAAAAAAAAAAAAAAAAGACACTGTGACTATCGGTGAAACACATTGGACAGTTCATGCCTCTTAGTAATATTGTCCCTGATTGGCCAACTCGACTCACTCCGCCCCCTCATTGTAAAGTATCTAAAACTTTCAGGAAAAGAACTGGTTCAGGGTTTTGTTGCCAGCCCTGAGGTAGTTAGACTTCTGTGAATTCAAAGCCTGTGAATTCAAAGCCATTAAGGCATACTTCGTGAGACCCTAAGGGAAAACCAAACACTCCACAAAAGGTGGCAGGCATTTTTAGTACCTGAAATCCAGAAACCTGAACAAGAATGTCAGTAAATTGCAGGCTCACCTGGTCCAGAGAACTAGTTCCAAGACAGATAATACCACGCAATAAATAAATAAATAAATAAATAAATAAATAAATAAATAAATAAATTCAAAACAAACAAAAAACTCACAAAATCGAAACAAACATTCAAACAAAAGAAGGAAAAAAAAACAAGAAATAAATTTAATTAATTAAGAAAAAAAAAGCCAGCGGGGCGTTGGTGGCGCAAGCCTTTAATCCCAGTACTCTGGAGGCAGAGGCAGGCGGATCTCTGTGAGTTCGAGGCCAGCCTGGTCTACAGAGCAAGTGCCAGGATAGGCTCCAAAGCTATACAGAGAAATCCTGTCCTGAAACCCCCCCCCCCCCCAAAAAAAGAGCTAGTTCCAGGACAGCCTCCAAAGCCACAGGCAACCCTGTCTCGAAAAACCAAAAAACGAAAAAAAAAAAAAAGAAAGAAAGAAAAGAAAGCCTCCGTTAACTACAGTAAATACTCCCAATTATCAGGATCACCCTGACTGCTAAGACAGAACCCACAATGGTCATTCAAAAGTGATGATGCAGAGACAGTAATTGATTAACCTTGGGACTTCATCAAGCCTGCTATTGCTTCCGGGATCATGAAATAATTCCTTCAACACCATGGTATTCCTTAGAGTAATAATGTTACTCAAATGAGCATTAAGATTTATCTATTTCATTACAGGGAAAGCTCGAAACTAACAAAAACGACTTCCCAGATCTGTTCTGTCCATCTCTGCTGAAACAAGACACAGACCTAAGGCACCTCTAAGGTACTGTTCTAATCTCAAAGTTAAGTAAATTATTCTTTGTCTGTTGTATAGCACTTGGTTAAAAATTGACAGTGAAAGATTCTTAAATAAACATGATTTAAGAGTAAATTCTTTAGTAAAAATCTGTCACATTTAGTTCAAACTGCAAGATGGTATCTCAGAGTTGTTTTGATTTGCATTTCCCTGATGGCTAAGGATGTTGAGCACTTTCTTATGTGTCTTTCAGCCATTTTAAATTCCTCTATTGAGAATTGTCAATTTAGTTCTGTACCCCACTTTTTTTGTTTGTTTTTTGTTTTTTGGGGTTTTTTTTTGGCTTTTTATTTTTTTTTTGTTTTTTTTTTGTTTTTTGTTTTTTTCGAGACAGGGTTTCTCTGTGTAGTTTTGGAGCCTATCCTGGCACTCGCTCTGGAGACCAGGCTGGCCTCGAACTCACAGAGATCCGCCTACCTCTGCCTCCCGAGTGCTGGGATTAAAGGCATGTGCCACCTATGCCTGGCTTTGTACACCACTTTTTAATTGAATTGTTTGGTGTTTTGGTGACTAGCTTCTTGAATTCTTTGAATATTTTGGAAATCAGCCCTCTGTCAGATGTGGGGTTAGTGAAGATCTTTTCCCATTCTGTGGGCTGTCATTTTTGTCTTGCTGATGGTGTCCTTTGCCTTACAGAAGCTTCTGGGTTCCATGAGGTCCCATTTATTAATTGTCTATCTCAGTGTCAGTACTACTGGTGTTATGTTCAGAAAGTGGTCTCCTGTACCAATTCGTTTGAGGGTACCACCGACCCTCTCTTCTAAGAGGTTCAGTGTGGCTGGGTTTATGTTGAGGTCTTTGATCCATTTGAACTTAAGTTATGTGAATGGTGATAAATATGGATCTATCTGTGATCTTCTACATGTCCGCATCCCGTTATGCCAGCACCATTTGTTGAAGATGCTTTCTTTTTTCCATTGTATAACTTTAGCTTCTTTGTCAAAAATCAGGTGTTTGTATGAGTGTGCGTTAACATCAGGGTTTTCAATTTGATTCCATTGGTCTACCTGTCTATTTTTGCGCCAATACCAAGCTGTTTTCAGGACTATAGCTCTATAATAGAGCTTGAAATCAGGGATGGTGATGCTTCCAGAAGTCCCCTTATTGTACAGAGGTGTTTTGGCTATCCTGGGTCTTTCATTTTTCCATATAAAGTAGAGAATTGTTCTTTCAAAGTCTGTGAAGAATTGTGCTGGGATTTTTATGGGGATTACATTGAATCTGTAGATTGCTTTTGGCAAGATTGACATTTTTACCTATCCAAGAGCATGGGAGATCTTTCCCTTTTCTAGTATCTTCTTTAATGTCTTTCTTTAAAGACTTAAAATTCACTGGGCATTGGTGGTGCACGCCTTTAGTCCCAGCACTCAGGAGGCAGAGGCAGGCGATCTCTGTGAGTTCGAGACCAGCCTGGTCTACAAGAGCTAGTTCCAGGACAGCCTCCAAAGCCACAGAGAAACCCTGTCTTGAAAAACCAAAAAAAGAAAAAAAAAGTCTTAAAATCCTTACTATACAGGTCTTTCACGTTTTTGGTTAGTGTTACCCCAAGGTATTTTA